CTAACGATTAATTGACTCGTGTGCCTTTGAACCTTTATTGTTCAAAACAGTTTAAATAGTCTTAATGTTTTTTTTTTTTGTGTTCACTGATGATGTTTTTATCGTTGTAAGCAAACAATAAACCCATTCTAAAATTCATTTATTGACCAATTTCTTAATTAGTAAAAGGAAGAAGTCAAGGAAATAGAGAGCTCAAGAAAATTTAAAAAATATTGTAATTATTAAAATCATCAAACCAGAAGAGATGCTCGCGCATTTTGTATAATTTATTTCTCAGAGAATTACACCAAACATCCTAAGATTTGATCACAATAATTACATTTTCTCTTCAGTATTTGCAAAATTATATTTTACATACGGTGTCATGATCAATGCCTAAAAAATTCCAAGATATAACAAGTTTGAATTATAGCACTTTATCTCCAGTTTTTTGAACTGTTTGTTCCTGAAGGGCCAGGGCCAAGCCAGAAGATTAAAAATAAAAATATAATATAAATAAGATTTATTTGACTACCTAAACAACCTGACATGATCCACAATTACTCCCATTGAACGTTGATTTCAACCTATGCCACAAGTCACAACTCTATTGAAGAAAATAATAAGAAACTATTTCGGGAAAAGTATGTCCAGTTGCTAATGAATTTCTAAAATCAAATTAAATGCTGCATACTTTTTCCAATTCCACATATCGTGTCTCCTATATATATCAGCTAGCTAACCCTCTCCGTCTCGCAGACTAGCTCGCTCTCTACACATACATTTGATTCCCTAAGAGTCTGATCAGCTTTCTTTCGCGTCAACAATGGGGTCTCAAGGAAAGGCTCGATACTTGACAATAATACTACTCCTTGTTACCATTATTTTGTTATCATGCTCTAACCTTACTGTGATAGCGAGGTCAGCATCTCCATGCAAATATGACCCCAAAGATAGTAAGTGCAAAATCGGTGAACCTGCAGCTCCAAGATTTAATGGGGGGAGGAGTTAGGAGAGGTGGTTTGACCTAATCGTATGATGAATGAGCAATCGTTTATCCTTGTATTAGCCAAGAAGGCATGGCTATTTAATTTATCCATGATAATTATTTAATATGTGTCCTTTGCTGGTTTAGGTTCCTTACTCTTGCCATGTTTTCTTTTCCCAAGCTTTTTGGCATTTGTACCCATTCTTCACCTTGCTTTGATTTGCCAATGTTATTCTATTAATAAAGTTTCTTCACTTATCTAAAAGATAAAAAAAGCTAGCTAATTGTGTATTTGTAAGGGTTTTTTTTTTTTTTTTTTTGAGAAGTCGACATACTTCAATGCATGGTTGGTTATTAATATCTTGATACAAATATTAGGAATTGAATCTGTAAACATTTTGTAGATACCAAGAGGCCAGCACATTTGTTGTGCATTTCGGTTTTGGGCATCCCAAAATGCCTATGCATAGAAATAGGAGTAGTAGGAGAAGAAATTAAACGAAAAAAGTGTTTTATTTCCTCATACCTTTCAAAGATTTGGCTGCACATCCCCTCCTACGAGAGAGGTCCTCGAGATAGATTGAACTATTTTTTCCTTGGAATTAAGAAAAATATATATGGATTTTACATTTTGGGTCAAATCATCATTATTATAGTATTATTATTATTATTATTATTATTGCAGTACTAGGATGATTCAAGATGCGCGAATTTCATTTAAACCCATGCTATTAATTATGATACCTCCTATCATTGCTGACCATGAAATTTTTTTTTTATGTGCATCAAGTATTATATAATATCAAAAAATAATAGCAAAAAACAGGTTAAAATTATATTCATAGAATTTTTATAGGAAAAGAAAGACTGTAAGGATGAGTTTTTATTCGCCCTTTAAATAATTCTTATCATCACCAGAACTCTTAGGATATGAATAGTGCTACACATGCACAATGTCACAACGATTATGCTTCTAAATCAATGAATGGTTAAAAATTATATGAAAAAATGAATTCTTATCCTTTATTAATAAAAAATAAATAAATGACAGTCATCACCTAATATTTTAATAATTAGAAATCCTAATTGGTCTCAGAGTTTGAATAGGGAGGTTGGCTGTATAAAGAAAAGGTATTAACACTCCTAATACACTTTACTCAAGGTAAACTGCATTGTTTAACTATCTGATATAAACTAAAATATTATTGTGATTTCTAATCATTGGTCCATCTAAGGTTTAAAAAAGTTTTTCCTAGTAAGGAAATCCTTATCTTATAAGGTTAAAATCCTATTTGTTCTCGTGCCAATGTAAAAAATAAACAAAACTATCTTTTAATTTAATATCATAAATACATCTTATGTATAAATTCATAATCTCAGATGCTATTAGAAAAAAAAATAATTTTTTTTAAATATAGGTTAAATTCTGATAACTTTAATAAACTAATTAAATTCCAAAATGCAAGCAAATATGTTTTTTTGGTTTTTCATATGGAAAAAACAATATAATTTTTTATATTTTTGAGAGACTTTACTATATGCAAATTAAAATAAAGATTGTATTTTTGAATAAAAGAATTTTTTGTTGTTTTTTATGGAAAAGAACTGATTTGTTTAATACCAAAAAAGTGTCTCACGTGGAAGTTACAATTCCAAATATTAAATATAAAAGGGTGAAAAAAAAAACAAAAAATAAAAATTGATTGCAAGATTATCATCAAACCTGTCATAACTCAATTCTGGGTTATTCCCCAATTTTGATCCATATTTTGATAACTTTTTAGAAAAAATCCAAAAAATAGAGAAAAACAATGAAAATCCAAAAAATACATTTTAAAACATATTTGCATTATTTTTAGCATTTTCAACATCATCTCAGAAGAATTTAATTTTTCAAAGATATTTGGAACGCGTTCAAATTTTAACGTGTTATTTTTAAAATCATTGATTTTTCTTATTGAGTTGATGTTGATATTGCTTGTTTTTGAAAAAAATACAATTTCCATTTCGTACCTTCGACTTCCTGCAATGCTTTTCAAATTAATCTGTCCTAATTTTTATTTTCGAAATATCTTGGAGATAACTTTTACAGCAACCTCTAAATATAAATAAAAAAAAAGACGTGCAGAGAAAACACAAATGGCATTTGAATCAATCTACAAGGTTTTGATCTGATTATTTATTTTTTCCTTTCCTTTTCTTTTTTCTTTGAGAAGTCAGTTCCCATCATTTTACTTGTTCGACATTTTGATTTCATGGCTACGCAAGGCAATACCTATAACCATTCATTTTCCAAGTCAAGACATGAAGTATACCCATCATCATTCATTTCCAAGTCAAGATCAACTCTTAAATTAATTAGTTATACGAGGAAGGATTTTAATAGATCCCACAACGACAAATCAACTCCATCTTATTTGGATTATGGCAATTGAGAGGACTAATTTGCGTGTTATACAGGTTTTGTATCTTAAAGTCCATGCCTTGGATTTGATTAATTAGATATCAACATTTGACATTTTATCACACCGGCACAACCATCTCCATCTCCACCACCACCAACCAAAAACATTTTATCCCCTTGGAGTCTCAGTTTTCTCTTCATTCATAAATGGGGTCTCAAGGAAATTACAATGGATGCTTGACAATTTTTCTGTCATGTCCCAACACATCATCCCGGAAAGAGGCCAGGGGGTGGTCCGTGCCGCCACCCGGATGGACCTCCATGGTTTGACTAGAGAGGAGGGGCTGGTTTGACATATATAGGCAGATGATGAATGGGTAATCTAGAGGTTTTCCCTTGTGCTTAATTTCAACCATTAGTGGTTGTATAATTTGTCTTATTTTATATTTTTTATGTCTAGTTGTATAATATTTATAGAAACTATATATGAATTTAATTTAATTTAATTTAATCAAATTATCAATAACGTTCCTTTCTATTTTAATTTTAGAGCAGGTGAACCAAACATTGATTTTGTTTTAAGTTTATTGTTTTTTCCTTGTCAGAGGCGACTTTAAGAAATGTTATTTTCATCACCTATTTTTTTTTCTTTTTTCTTTTCATCATACATCACCTAACGATTAATTGACTCGTGTGCCTTTGAACCTTTATTGTTCAAAACAGTTTAAATAGTCTTAATGTTTTTTTTTTGTGTTCACTGATGATGTTTTTATCATTGTAAGCAAACAATAAACCCATTCTAAAATTCATTTATTGACCAATTTCTTAATTAGTAAAAGGAAGAAGTCAAGGAAATAGAGAGCTCAAGAAAATTAAAAAAATATTGTAACTATTAAAATCATCAAACCAGAAGAGATGCTCGCGCATTTTGTATAATTTATTTCTCAGAGAATTACACCAAACATCCTAAGATTTGATCACAATAATTACATTTTCTCTTCAGTATTTGCAAAATTATATTTTACATACGGTGTCATGATCAATGCCTAAAAAATTCCAAGATATAACAAGTTTGAATTATAGCATTTTATCTCCAGTTTTTTTGAACTGTTTGTTCCTGAAGGGCCAGGGCCAAGCCAGAAGATCAAAAATAAAAATATCATATAAATAAGATTTATTTGACTACCTAAACAACCTGACATGATCCACAATTACTCCCATTGAACGTTGATTTCAACCTATGCCACAAGTCACAACTCTATTGAAGAAAATAATAAGAAACTATTTCGGGAAAAGTATGTCCAGTTGCTAATGAATTTCTAAAATCAAATTAAATGCTGCATACTTTTTCCAATTCCACATATCGTGTCTCCTATATATATCAGCTAGCTAACCCTCTCCGTCTCGCAGACTAGCTCGCTCTCTACACATACATTTGATTCCCTAAGAGTCTGATCAGCTTTCTTTCGCGTCAACAATGGGGTCTCAAGGAAAGGCTCGATACTTGACAATAATACTACTCCTTGTTACCATTATTTTGTTATCATGCTCTAACCTTACTGTGATAGCGAGGTCAGCATCTCCATGCAAATATGACCCCAAAGATAGTAAGTGCAAAATCGGTGAACCTGCAGCTCCAAGATTTAATGGGGGGAGGAGTTAGGAGAGGTGGTTTGACCTAATCGTATGATGAATGAGCAATCGTTTATCCTTGTATTAGCCAAGAAGGCATGGCTATTTAATTTATCCATGATAATTATTTAATATGTGTCCTTTGCTGGTTTAGGTTCCTTACTCTTGCCATGTTTTCTTTTCCCAAGCTTTTTGGCATTTGTACCCATTCTTCACCTTGCTTTGATTTGCCAATGTTATTCTATTAATAAAGTTTCTTCACTTATCTAAAAGATAAAAAAAGCTAGCTAATTGTGTATTTGTAAGGGTTTTTTTTTTTTTTTTTTGAGAAGTCGACATACTTCAATGCATGGTTGGTTATTAATATCTTGATACAAATATTAGGAATTGAATCTCTAAACATTTTGTAGATACCAAGAGGCCAGCACATTTGTTGTGCATTTCGGTTTTGGGCATCCCAAAATGCCTATGCATAGAAATAGGAGTAGTAGGAGAAGAAATTAAACGAAAAAAGTGTTTTATTTCCTCATACCTTTCAAAGATTTGGCTGCACATCCCCTCCTACGAGAGAGGTACTCGAGATAGATTGAACTATTTTTTCCTTAGAATTAAGAAAAATATATATGGATTTTACATTTTGGGTCAAATCATCATCATTATATTATTATTATTATTATTATTATTATTGCACTACTAGGATGATTCAAGATGCGTGAATTTCATTTAAACCCATGCTATTAATTATGATACCTCCTATCATTGCTGACCATGAAAAAAAAAAATTTATGTGCATCGAGTATTATATAATATCAAAAAATAATAGCAAAAACAGGTTAAAATTATATTCGTAGAATTTTTATAGGAAAAGAAAGACTTTAAGGATGAGTTTTTATTTGCCGTTTAAATAATTCTTATCATCACCAGAACTTTTGGGATATGAATAGTGCTACACGTGTACGATGTCGCAACGATTATGCTTCTAGATCAATGAATGGTTAAAAATTATAGAAAAAAATGAATTCTTATCCTTTATCAATAAAATAAAAAGAAAGAAAATGAGAGTCATCACCTAATATTTTAATAATTAAAAATCCTAATTGGTCTCAGAGTTTGGATAGGGAGGTTGGTTGCATAAAGAGAAAGTATTAGCACTCCGAATACACTTTACTCGAGGTAAACTGCATTGTTTAACTATCTGATATAAACTAAAATATTATTGTGATTTCTAATCATTGGTCCATCTAAGGTTTAAAAAAGTTTTTCCTAGTAAGGAAATCCTTATCTTATAAGGTTAAAATCCTATTTGTTCTCGTGCCAATGTAAAAAATAAACAAAACTATCTTTTAATTTAATATCATAAATACATCTTATGTATAAATTCATAATCTCGGATGCTATTAGAAATTTTTTTTTTAAATATAGGTTAAATTCTGATAACTTTAATAAACTAATTAAATTCCAAAATGCAAGCAAATATGTTTTTTTGGTTTTTCATATGGAAAAAACAATATAATTTTTTATATTTTTGAGAGACTTTACTATATGCAAATTAAAATAAAGATTGTATTTTTGAATAAAAGAATTTTTTGTTGTTTTTTATGGAAAAGAACTGATTTGTTTAATACCAAAAAAGTGTCTCACATGGAAGTTACAATTCCAAATATTAAATATAAAAGGGTGAAAAAAAAAACAAAAAATAAAAATTGATTGCAAGATTATCATCAAACCTTTGAAAATTTGACTAAAGCCACATTCAACAAAACATAATAATATGTTTTAAATTGGACAAGATATTAATTAAAAAGATTATTTATTATTCAGAACATCTCAAAATCAAGTAAACACAAAAAATTTACACAGATTTTTAAATTTTCATGCTAATTCAAATAAACTAAACACTGACCCAACACAACTTAAGCGCCATATTTAACATTCACAAAGCAATTACAACCTAAAAAATAAATTCATAATTCAATGCAAATAATTGAATTATTTTGAAATCCAAACACAAATCAAACCAAATTAACAATCCAAAAGGTCCACATATTATACAAAATAATAAACATTTAGTTTCAAAATTCATAATATTTTAGCAATTTGTCTAAAAACCAAAATTCATAATATTTTAGCAATTTGTCCAAAAAATGGTTTGAGTTTAAGATCAACCTTTGAATGCATTTAGCATATCCAGGAATTACTAGGATTACTACTGACACGTGTACCACGTGCTGCCACCATTGCTAGCATGTGGATTCACTTATTGCCGCTATTGGAGGATGATGGGCTACTGGATCTAAAGCTCATTTGTCTCCTCTTCACTCATACATGGTGATGTTCATTCACGCTCTTTGATGAGGAAGATCTGGCCTCTCAAAGCTCTGGTCCCCTTTTCCTTTCTTTCTTCTTAGGACGGTGATGGAGATCAACATTATTTCTTCTTTGTTTTATATGGCTAGCGGTAAGACCAAAAGGTTGCTTGCATGACTGGGTTTTTGCTATTGTTAGTGGCAGCGATGGGCTATGGTGTTGATGACTATGTTTGGAATTAAAAAAGAGGGGAAAACATGACCATCAATGGTGGCTTTGCCATGAAGATAGTGATGGGTGAAGGCTATCAGATATGTGGGCTTCACCGTGTGTGAGCTGGAGTGGAGGAGCTATTATGGCTAATAAGTGTGGACCTGGTTACGGGGATGTATATGTATGCTCTTGGTAGTCGGCTAAGGGAGAAGGGTAAGTATGGTTCATGGTTTGTTAGTAGTGGGTTTTGTTACATGTGTGCGGCGTCGCGGTGATTGACCACCCTATAGGAAAAAATGTATATGGTGTATCTCTAGTAAATATGAAAAGATAATGAATTCTTAATGTATATGGTGTATCTCTAGTAAAATATGGAGAGATAATGAATTCTTGTTTCTTATCAGTGAGAAATATGAATGAGAGTTACTACCTAGTATTTTGGTCAATAGGAACTTTAATTGGTCTTAGAGATCGGGTACAGAGATTAGTTGTGTAAAGCGAAGGTATTAGCACCCCAACTATGCCCTATTTAAGGTAAGCTGCATTTTTTTTTGTCTGATAAACTCTAAGATTTGGTTGTGGTGTTTAAAATTTATTGGTCTGTCTATGATTTAAGAAAATTCCTCTTTTATAAGGAGATTCTTATTTTATTGGGTAAAAACCTAATCGTTCTATTATCCGAGTCTGAATAAAAAGAATTAAATATCCAAATATGTATTATGTGTAATGTCATACCCCGAATACTAAGAAATAAAAAAAATATTTTTTTTTTATTTTTGAGGTTTTGGCCAATGTTTTCTTAACTTTAATAAACTGATTATTAAAGGTAAAATGCATTTTAAAATATATTTTTTTTTGTGTATGAAAAATACATTATGATTTTTTTTTTAGTGTTGAGACACTTGGCCGCATGCACAAATTTTTTTTTTTGTCTTTTTTTCATTTTTTTTTTGTATTTTTTAACACCAAATTTGTATTTTTATGGTATATTACTTAGAATGGGTAATGACATAACCAAAAGATTTTTTTTTTGTTGATACCCCTCCTTTTATATGTGTATGTGGCCATTTATTTATAGGTAGAGAAGAAATATGAATGGGAGTCACTACCTAGTATTTTGGTTAATAGAAACTTTAATTGGTCTTAGAGATCGGGTACAGAGATTAGTTGCGTAAAGCGAAGGTATTAGCACCCCAATTACGCCCTATCTAAGGTAAGCTGTATTTTTTTTTTGTTTGATAAACTCTGAGATTTGGTTGTGGTGTTTAAAATTTATTGGTCTGTCTACGATTTAAGAAAATTCCTCTTTTATAAGGAGATTCTTATTTTATTGGGTAAAAACCTAATCGTTCTATTATCCGAGTCTGAATAAAAAGAATTAAATATCCAAATATGTATTATGTGTAATGTCATACCCCGAATACTAAGAAATAAAAAAAATATTTTTTTTTTATTTTTGAGATTTTGGCCAATGTTTTCTTGACTTTAATAAACTAATTATTAAAGGTAAAATGCATTTTAAATTTTTTTTTTTGTGTATGAAAAATACAATATGATTTTTTTTTTAGTGTTGAGACAGTTGGCCACATGCACAAAATTTTTTTTGTCTTTTTTTCAAATGTTTTTTGCATTTTTGGAAGTTTTGCTGAAACCATGTATTTTAACACCAAATTTGTATTTTTATGATATATTACTTAAAATGGGTAATGACATGACCAAAAGATTTTTTTTTTTCTGATACCCCTCCTTTTATATTTGTATGTGGCCATTTATTTATAGGTAGAGAATTTTGTCTCCTTCTCCAGTTCCTTGGTCTAACATTTGTATTTTGAAATTTTTTTTTGAAAAAAAGTAATATCAATATCGACTCAATGAAGAAAATTAATGATTTTGAAACATGATAAAAGTCAAATGCGTTGAAAAAACATTTGAAATTTAAATTCTATTGAGATGATGCTGAAAATGTTAAAAACAATGCAAATATATTAAGAATTTTTTTTTGTTTTCTACTTTTTTTTTGTTTTTTCTCGGTAAAAAAATTAGTAACAAATAATTTAAGACTAAAGTGGTTGCCTAGAGAGTATTCTTGAAAACTTCAAAGATGAAAAAATATTTTTAAAAGATAAAATAAATTATATTTTAAAATCTAATTTAATAACTTGAGTTTTTATATTGAGATGATTTTTTGATATTTTATTAGAATATTGTTAATCAAGTAACTTGAATTTTACTATTTCCATTCTATTTGATAAAATTAACAGTATAAGGTAAGATAGGTTAATACAAGTTTTATGCCCAAAATAATATATTAAAAATAATATAAATCATATTTTAAAAATTTCTCTAACAACTTAAGCTTATATCCCACCTTAGTTAAATATCAAGGGTTTTAATATCTTTTAGCTTATATCCCAACTTAGTTAAATATCAAGGGTTTTAATATCTAGATGACATAAGGTATTAAATTAGTCCTTTAAGATTAGGCATCCATAAGGGTAAAATTCATCCCCATCAAAGTGTTTTAGTGACGAATTTATCCTTTTTGTTGGATTTAAAGATGAAACTCATCGAAATTCATAATGACTAATTTCGTTCCTCATTTAAGGAAATAAAAACTAATGTCGTACCCATATTAAGTCTTTAATCCTAGTACGTAGTTAGAATTTCAAATTGTATCACTCTTATTTTTTTTAATTAGATTAAAAATTACACACACAAACACTTGAAGAAGTGTGCTAAAGAATTAATATAAAATTATTTTTACATTTTTAGATTGAGATAGTTATATAAAAATTATTAATAATTTTATATAGCATGGTTAATTGATTGTCCATAATTCATGACTTATTCTTGTGGAATATTAAAAAAAAAATCTCACTACTTGAGTCCTCCATATTAACATTTTTAGATTGATATGGTGTGTAGTGTTAAGGATCCTCAAATCCTAAAATTTTATAGTTTTAAACTGAAAAGAAAGAAACTAGGGGTCTCACAACCTAAATTTACAACTCTTAGAAATGGTTGCAGAGAAAAATATAATATATTTATAAAAGTCTTCATTTTGTAAATTCTCCTCTGAAAAATAAAAAGATCTTGAACAGTAACTTTTAGACTGAATGTAGCATGTTCATGAACTCAAATGAAGTTGTCTTGCTAATCATTTAAAGAAGTAAATATAAATAAGAAAAAATTATGTTCCACCTAATGGTTAGATGATAAGTTATATCTATCTCATTAGACTACACATTGGACTTATATGGAACTCCTTAAAATATAAAAAATCTTAACAATGAAAGAAGTAAAGCAATAAAACTAATTATGCTAAGGATAATGAATATAGTGCCCTACTTTAGTCCTCTCCTCTTGTAAAAAACTTGCCCTCGATTAAGCTGAACTCTTTCAATTTAAAAACATAGATACTTTAAATATAGCTTTGTAATGCATATTCTCTAAGTATAATGTTTTTGATCGTGAGTTTCAAATTCTAATTTATGGTGTGTGCAAGCTAAAGAATGATATATATATATATATAGAGAGAGAGTTCACTGGTAGTTCCTTTACACATTCTTTTGCACATTTTTATACTTTTAACATGACCTCCGTTGTGAAAAAATTATAATAATTATTAATGAACATTGTAATAAAAGAAAAACTAGAAAGAATACAAGATTTAATGTGATTTGATAATATACCTACATTCACACGAGCAATTAGTGTTTATTTTTATTAGATATCAATTGAGTTGCATAATGTTTATTTATAATAGATCCTGCACCACTTAAGGTTCTACAGTTCAAGAGTCCATCAGCCTAAAAAATATTATAAATTTTTTAATAATACTTATTCGCAGTATCATTGAGACAATGCCCCACATCCCAACCTACCAATCATTCTTGGTAGCAAAATAGAAAACAAATCATAACATGATAAATACCATCATTCCTCTCTAGTCTATCTATGAACTATGAACTACAAACTAGTCTGATCCAATCATTTTACTTGTTCGTTATTTTAATGCAATGGACTCAGCAAATGGGCGAAATAGTCACAGTTTTGCGTGCTCACAAGGTAATACCTATAACCATTCATTTTCAAAGTCAAGACACGCGTGTTCATGAAGTATACGTATCATCATTCATTTTCCAAGTCAAGACCGACTCTTAAATTAATTGTATGAGAAAGGATTTATAAATTCCTCAACGAATAAATCAAACCTCTCTCCCATTAATTGCTTTTTTGTTATTTCAAAAGTATTTTTCAACCTTCTTATTTTCGCCATGCTTTTTTAATTTTCAATCCAATCAGTCTTTTAATTATCTTTTGCCAATTTTTACTCAGTCTTTTGTGAATTTGTACAGTATGGCTTGCTTCCTGTTTTTCTTCTATTGGGTTTGCTTCCTGCCTTTTTTTGCTTTCCGATGAATATAGTCTTTCATTCATCAAAAAATCAAAATACGACGAAATTATTTTTACCTCAGCAATGAATGACTTTTTCTCGGCTGCGAAGAGCCCGAGAGCTCAAAAATTTGCAGTTTATTAAATCAACTGAAGAGCTTATTTCAATGTTTATTTGTGCATTAATAATGTGTAATCTTCAATCCCATCATACCACAGAAAAAGAAAGATTATGTAAAAGTTGAGAGTGCTTAGTTGTTGCATAACATTTATTTGCAGTACAAGTTGCTTGAACAAAACAGGCACTTAAACAGGTTTTGACTGTTTGTTTCCGAAGGGCCACGCCAGAAGTTTAAAAACACATGATCCACATTACTCCCGTTTAATGTTAATTTCAACCTATGTCACAAGTCACAACTGCTTCGAAGAAAATAATAAGAAACAATTTCGAGGAAACTATAGTTTTCCAATTCAACATATTGGAAAAGTTTTTGAAATGAATTTAAATGTTGAATACTTTTCCAATTCAACATATTGTGTTTCATATATCAGCTAGCTAACCCTCTCCTTCTCTACAATCACCCATCTCGCAGACTATCTCGCTCTCTACACATACCAAGACATACATTTGATTCCCTAAGAGTCTCAGCTTTCTTTCGTGTCAAGAATGGGGTCTCAAGGAAAGGCTCGATGCTTGACAATAATACTCCTAATTGTTACCATTATTTTGTTATCATGCTCTAACCTTACTGTGATAGCAAGAAAGGATCCATGCACATATGATCCCAAGCATCCTAGTGAGTGCCACATCGGTGAACCAGCTGCAGCTACTTAATTTATCCATGGCAATTATTTATGTGTCCTCCTTCGCTGGTTTAGGTTACTTCCTAGCTTTTGCCATGTTTTCTTTTCACATGCTTTTTGGCATTTGTACCCATTAATTCTTCACCTTGCTTTGATTTGCCAATGTTATGCTATTAATAAAGTTTCTTCACTTATCTAAAAGCAAAGAAAAAAAAGCTAGCTAATTGTGTATTTACAAGTTTTTTTTAGAAGTCGACATACTTGTTGGTTATTAATATCTTGATACAAATATTAGGAATTGAATCTTTAAACATTTTGTAGATACAAATATTAGGAAGTCGACATACTTGTTGGTTATTAATATCTTTGATTTGCCAATGATATCATAGCCAGCAAAATGAGCAAACCTGATACCACATATAGCAACTAATCATAACCCTACCAGTTTGAGTAAAATCCAAAGATATTACGTATCATCATTCATTTTCCAAGTCAAGACCGACTCTTAAATTAATTGTATGAGAAAGGATTTATAAATTCCTCAACGAATAAATCAAACCTCTCTCCCATTAATTGCTTTTTTGTTATTTCAAAAGTATTTTTCAACCTTCTTATTTTCGCCATGCTTTTTTAATTTTCAATCCAATCAGTCTTTTATACTGTTTTGATGTCTTATATGTATGATAGTTTCTCAGGTATTTTGGATTTTGGAGATATTTTTCTAGCTAGGTCGCTGGAAGAACGTCACCTCTGTGACCATATCCTTCATGTATCAAATTTTCCAGCACTTATTTTACATCAACCACTTGCATATGCATGCAATAGTTAAAGTTGATAAGACAATAATATTTTCTCATTGGGAAAATTAATGTCTACGCGCTGAATAATTTGGCTCCTTCAAATTGTGACATTACTCTGTAATAATGCTACAAGTAAATGTTGAGGGCTTGAGATAAGAGGAGTTTATTTTTCGTCACCGTTACTCTTTAACAATGTCAAAACAATCTTTTTAGTGAATTTTGTTGCCGGTGGAAGTTCAGTTAATTTGTATAGTATGGCTTGTTTCCCGTTTTTTTTCTATTGGGTTTGGCTTGTAGCAGGTCATGAGCCCCCTGCTTTTTTGCTTTCCGACGAATATAATCTTTCATTCATCAAAAAATCAAAAGAAGAAGAAATTATATTTACCTCAGCCATGAAAGACTTTTTCTCGGCTGCGAAGAGCCCAAGACTCAGAGTTGCAGTTTATAAAATCAACTGAAGAGCTTATTTCAATGTTTATTTGTGCATTAATAGATAAATATATTAGAGTGGGGCCATATTGTGTAATCTTCAAACCCATCATACCATAGAAAAAAAAAAAAGAAGATCGAGTAAAAGTTGAGAGTGCTTAGTTTTTGCATAACATTTTTTTACATTACAAGTTGCTTGAACAAAGCAGGCACTTAAACAGGTTTTGACTGTTTGTTTCTGAAGGGTCACGCCAGAAGATTAAAAAAAACAAAAATCAAAGAAATTTTATTTATTTGACTACTTAAACAACCTGGACATGATCCACATTACTCCCGTTTAATGTTAATTTCAACCTATGTCACAAGTCACAGCTGTTTGGATGAAAATAATACCAAACTATTTCGAGGAAAGTGTACTTTTCCAATTCAACATGGAAAACTTCTTTTGAAATGAATTTAAATGCTGTACGTATACTTTTCCAATTCAACATATCGTGTCTCATATATCAGCTAGCTAACCCTCTCCATCTCTGCAATCACCCATCTCGCAGACTAGCTCGCTCTCTACACATACATTTGATTCCCTAAAAATCTCAGTCTTCTTTCGTGTCAAAAATGGGGTCTCAAGGAAAGACTCGATACTTGACAATAATACTCCTTGTTACCATTATTTTGTTATCATATTCTAACCTAGCTGTTACAATTACACTTCACAAGAATACTCCTGGGGCTCCTAAGGCTCCATGCAAATATGATCCCACTGATCCTAGTAAGTGCAGTATCGGTGAACCTGCAGCAACAAAGTTTGACGGGGGGAGGACTTAGGAGAGGTGGTTTGACCTATCGTACGATGAATGAGTAATCGTTTATCCTTCTATCAGTTTGAAGGCATAGCTACTTAATTTATCCATGGTTTGAGGCATGGTAATTATTTATGTGTCCTTCGCTGGTTTAGGTTACTTACTCTTGCCATGTTTTCTTCTCCCAAGCTTTTAATTTGGCATTTGTACCCAGTCTTCACCTTACTTTGATTTGTCAATGTTATGCTATTAATTAATAAAGTTTCGTCACTTATCTAAAAGGAAACAAAGCTAGCTAATTGTGTATTTGTAAGTTTTTTTAGAAGTCGACATACTTTCGGTTATTAAAATTAGGAATTGAATATTTAAACATTTTGTAGATATCAAGAGGCCAGCACATTTGTTGTGTATTTTGGTCTGGGGCTTCTCAAAAGGCATATGTATAGAAATCACTATCAGATTTAATATTAGTTTTACCTTTAAAATTTTTTGTTGATATTTAAACTAATTATCTGCTGGTACATATTTTATTAACCGGCTCATAAATGGAACCAGTTTGTCAAAAAAACTCTTTTTTATAATTTTTAATTTATCAGTGAGTCTATCAATAATAAATTTACTAATAGATTTATAGACAAAAAAAATGCACAAAAAAATAAATTGCCCTATTTATTATGTCAATATTTCCCTTTGAAAGTTTGTCACATAATCGATAGAAATACTATATGCAATTTCATTGATGTTTTTATTTGTTTGTTAATAAATATAATATATCATCGATGAAATACTTTTTGTAATTCCATCAGAGAATTAACAATAACACTGATATTTAGAGTAATTATTTTTCAATTTTTTAGAATATAATGAGACATGGTTTGTTGGTAACTCTATTCATAATATTTAAAAATATGTTTTTTTTAAAAATAAAGATAAGTATTAAAATAATTAAAATAAAATATATAAAAAGAAATTAAAATAATATAAGAATTAAATCTTTTTTTTTGTAAATTTAAATATTTATGCTTTCAAATGTAATAAATCTAAATCATCACTCCACACATATATTTTAACAAAAAATTTCATCAAACTTAGCTCACATTAAAAAATCGTAGCCTACTAGTGGTAAGGAGTCATGTGGAGGACACGAAGAAAGGGTCATAGAGCATGACCTCCATTCCAGCAAACTGGTGGGCAGCCTATCTCCCTCCATTGGGAACTTGAGTTTTCTTAAGCTACTAAGCTTGGAAAACAACAGTTTCACCAATACTATCTTCCAAGAATTAGGTCGTTTGGTTCGGCTACAGACACTGATCCTTGGGAACAACTCGTTCAGTAGTGAAATCCCGTACAACATTTCTCATTGCTCGAACCTAACTGAAGCTTAATTTAGAGGGAAAAAATCTTACTGGCGACCTTCCTGCAGGACTTGGAACGTTATCAAAGCTGCAGGTATTTTGTTTTAGAAAGAACAATCTAGACGGCAAGATACCACTCTCTTTCGAAAAATCTTTCATCTGTCATTGAGATTGATGGAACACTTAGTAGTATTGGGTAACTGTGATGTTTTGAATTAAAAGATATAGGAAAAGGCAATTAAGGGCTATAGTAAATAAATAAAGAGATGATAAATATATATAGAAAGTAAACAAAAAAGGAAGAAGAAGAGAGAGCTGTGTTCTTAGAGAAAAAAAACAGTGAGAGGGAGAGGAGAAGAAGAGAAAAGAGGGAAAGATAAGGAAGGAGAAGGGATTTAAAGAAAAATAAGTTAAAAGGGTAATATTTATGTTTTGATGTGTATAATATGTTTTCTTTAGATTTAAATTTTTATTTTTGTTTGATGTTAGGGTTTTGAAGATTTGTATTTTGGTTTGACTGATAAATTAATTTGAATGTTATAAAGTTGATTATTGTGGGTAATGGATTGTTTAGTTGAGTTTTAGAGAATGCAGATAAAAATGATGATTTTGAGTTATGATTTTGTTTGAATGGTGAATTTGTATTAGAAATCAGGAGATAACAGTAGGTAATCTGTGAAAATTCTAGGTTTGAGGTTCAAGATGATAAAATTTTGGTTTGGTCCCTCAATTTGTAAACATTATAGTTTAGTCCCCAAACATTGGAAAATTATAAATTGGTCTTTGGAACATATTTTGAAATTCTAAACAGAATCAAAGATGAATTATGGGCAAAAATCCTTTACAGTTATGTAATTTTAACACTTTGAATTTGGTCCTTTAATTTGATTCTAAAAATCTGAAAAAGTTCCAGAATGGTCTCTAGAGCATAATGAGATATTCTAGACAGAATTGAGATTAAATATGATCATAATTTCAGTATAGTTATGGATTTATGATATTTTTAGTTTGGTCCTTCAATTTGATAAAAGTTACAATTTGACCCTTACAAATATGATAAATTCCAGATTAGTTCCTAGCTGTAATATTAGCTTTTTCAAATTGGTTTGATGAATAATTGAGATTTATTTAGTGAATTATTTTTAATTTTTTAATTTTTTTTATTATGAATTAGATTTCAGAAAAACAATTTAATTTTGGGTTTTTAGAAAAAAATTACTAGTTTAGTTTAAAAACATGTTTAATTTTGGGTTTTTATGAAAAATTACTAGTTTGGTTTAAAAATATATAGGGTTATGGAATATACCTTTAGATAAATGTATTAAATAGGTTATATATTCTTTTGAACCATTCTGAAATATGTCTCATTTGTATTTATATAATCCTGATATTTTACTAGCGGGACATCAATAGGATTTCCTTCGGTATCTGCTTTTGAGTATTGTTTGCTTTCGAGATAGGTGAGTGGATAATTTTTCATATGCATGATAAATATTATAAATGTTTGATTTGTTAATATGAATTGAATAATGCTTCTTGATAATATATATGTTGATTATTATCCTTATTATGATAAAACATAATCAATTATTGAATCTGAATTCTTGATATGAACCATTATATATTTTGTATTGATTTCTGAATTGATAGCTTCTCATTTGATTGATGTCATGAGTTGAGTCTTGAGATATGAATATGTATGTTTGATTATGATTATAAACCTATGGTATGCCAGTCAAAATACCCATGCTAACATGGTAGTGTTAGTCTTTATGCACATCATATTTGAACCCTAGTTGGTCGAGGGAGTCACCAACTTGTGTGGACTAATCATCCCACGGTATGGAGCCTTATGCTCATTGTATTTTGATTTTCTGAAGAAGTTTACTTTATGATATTCTTGTTATAGCTTATTTGAGAAACCTTCCTATAAGAATCTAAAGCCATAATTGTATATATATTTCTCATTATTCTATTACTTTGTGTATGTATATTGAACATTATCTACTCACCGAGTTGTTGAACTCACCCTCTCATTATTTATCCTTTTCAGGCTTATAGCTTGATAGCAGGTTATTTTTGTTAGACTTTCAGAACCTGCTTTTTTTTTTGTTGCAATTTGTATATTTTTCTTTATGTCTAGTTAGTGTGTTGCAATTTGTACATTTTTCTTTATGTTTAGTTAGTGTTTCAAAATTAAGAATTTATATAAACTCTTGTATTAAGATAATTAAATTATATTATGAAGTTAGATTTATTGTTACTGCTGCGTTGAACTCTGATTGAGTTATTTTAAGAATGAGCTTGTATGTAAGTTTGAGTTCGCATAGATATAAAACCTTACTTATATACTAGTCATGAATTCAGAAATCAGGTCGTGACAAAAATTAAAAACCGTGACAAAAACTGAAAACATTGAACTTATTTTCACGGCTCAAATAATGAGTGGTACAATCCCTCCTTTCCTATACAATATTTCTTCTCTCATTCATTTCTCTCTGCCTTGTAACCATTTTCATATTACACTTCCTCCAAACATTGGCCTAACTCTTCCAAATCTAGAGTTTCTTTGCATTCACAATAATCAATTAAGTGGACAACCCCCAGGGACACTCTTAAATGCTTTAAAATTTACTGAGATTTGTCTTTCACGCAATGAATTCACTGGCAAAGTCCCCCCTTGAGCAAGCATTCCTAACTTGAGGGGTGCTGCCTGACATCATTAGCAACTTCTCAACAGAGCTCAAGAAGATGACATTCGGAAGCAATCAAATCCAAGGAAGCATTCCCGATGGCATTGGAAATCTCATAAGCTTGGATACTTTAGTTTTGGAGAGAAATCATTTGACTGGCAGCATTCAAAATTCTTTTGGTAAATTACAAAATTTAGTTG